ATTAATATGGCGAAAAGGAAAATTGATGCAGTTATTGAGAGACTGAAAGTTTGAAATTGTTCACGAGCGAAAGATTTCCTCCACATATGCGCAATGCACAGATCCTCTTGTTAGAAAGACCATGTTTATCTCTTCCAATCTCGTTTCGTCTCCAATTTGGTTTGATCTCAGCAATTTGCATATATGTGTAGGATCGAAACACAAGAACTAAGCCAACCAGAGGGGGGTGAATGGTTAATATACCCAAAAACCGAAAATTTTTAGCGGAAATAAAAATTACCCTCGAAATCGATGGAGATCGGTCTGACCGGAGTAGATTAGCCGGTCTGACCGAAGCGTAGCCGCCGGTCTGACCAGTGATGATCTACCGGTCTGACCGCCGAGATCGCCTGCCGCTCGCTGTCGCCGCCGCCGGTCTGACCGCCGTGCTCCCGCCGGTCTGACCGCCGCAATGCCGTTGGTCTAACCGCCGGTGAGTTGCCGGTTAGACCGCCGAAACCCGGTGAAACACAAATCGAAGAACTCTTAAAGTAGATGACGACTTTATTACTTCTCTCTGTATTTACAAAGTGCACCAACAGCACTCCTTACAAAAATTTCGACTAAACTCGAAACCCTAACTCAAAGCTTAACTAAATTGCTCTCTAAGCGATACCGGGAAGCCTCACGCTCCCCCTCTATTTATACATGAGGTAGGCAGCCTAAAGCCACGAACCAAACTCATACTAGGAGTCCTAAACACCTTAGCAAACCACGAACAAGATCCAAACCACTTAACCTAGTGAGATGATCAAAACCAACATGTCCAAGTCTACAATGCCAAAACATCACATCTTTATCAAACTTAGCAACCAAACATGTTATCACAGGTCAAACAGAATTTTCAAAATTAGCTTTAAACACTCTTCCATAGCGAGAAATATTCAGCACAATCACCACGAGAATCAAAAACTTTACTTCCAGTTTTCTTAAAGTGAACTTCAAACTCTTCATCAACAATTTGTGAAACCGAAAGCAAATTGTACTTTAAATCCTCAACCAAAGCTGCATTCTTCAATTCAAATTTTTCATTTACCTTAACCAAACCTGTAGCGACAACGGCACTAGTAGAAGCATCGGCAAAGACAATTGTTTCAGTCTTGGATGCCTTCTTGAGGGAGGAGAACCAATTTTTATCACCGGTCATGTGCCGCGAACAACCGGAATCCACGATCCACACGTTCTTATTCCTTGCCACCAAAGCCTACACACAAGCAGAAGTCGAAGCCTCAGTACTGGGGTTAGATAATAAAAATTTAGGAATCCAGTACTGAGACACACGACCAGAAGATCCAATAGGCATATATCCACGTGCAAAATCAATTTTAGAATTTTCAGAAAAATTCCTCCGAGGCTGGTCTGACCGAAGAACAGTGGCCGGTCTGACCGCCTCTGTACCGCCGGTCTGACCGGTGTCCGGTCTGACCGATGCACTGCAGCCGGTCTGACCGGTCGCTGGTCTGACCGCGGAACCCACTACGGTCTGACCGGTTTCCTCGAGGGAAAACCCGATTTTTGCCACTTTGATTTTGCAAAAGCAATCTCTCTCTCCTTTTTCTGTTTATGAGCTAATCTGAAACAAAAATCAACAATATGTCCATCTTTTCCATAAAAAGAACAAGTGTATTTTTTACGTTGTTTAGATACATTGTTAAAACTTGAAGATTTAGCAACACATGCAGAAACAGGAGGTTTTGCATGCACAACATTGGATTTTAAAGAAGATGCATTCATAGTAGACATGATACCAGCAGATTTAAACACAGTTTTATTTGTATCAGGTTTAACCAAAATCTCACCTCTTCTAGCACCAACACCTAACACAACAGGAGGATGTCTAGAATTATGAGCATAAGGATCGAAACCTAAACCACGGTTATTTGTGCTAACCTTTGATTTATCCAAAATCATATTGAGGTTCTTTTTACTATCAGAAAATCTTAGCAAAGAAATTTTCAAATAAGAAACCTCTTTTTCTAAATTAGCACAATTTTCACAATCTACCATGACACCTTTGCTTTTACGACATTTGGGGCAAGAAAGCACTTCATTGTTTTTCACAACATCTTCCATGTACTCAACACGACCTAAAGCATCTTTTAGTTTCATCTTATTCAAATTACATGTTGAGCAATCCAAAACATCATGAGGTTGTTTTAACTTTTTAATACAAATCATGTTAAACATCAAACTAGCATGAAAAGCAATTTGATATTTTTGCAACAACTTTTTAGTTAAAAACAACTCATCCAAAGTACGTGTGTGCAAATCAAAACTACAAGCAAGAGAAGATCTATTTCTCAAATCTTGTGCAGCATTAACATCTCTAATTTTTGAAATCTCATTCATTAAAACCTCACAATTTTCACAATCATCATCATTAGGAATAAGAGATTTTAACCTATCAATTTCAGACTTAAGAGATTCAATGATAAATTCCTATTTTTTATACATCTTCTCACACTTTTTATTTTTTGCACTCAAAATATTAATAGCTTCCTCAAAAGCACTCACCTCATTATCTTCATACTCTGTGTCAGATTCACCACACGCCATGAAGCAAACATCGGAGACTTTTTTCCCTTATCTTCATCTCCACTTTCACCATCTACATCACTTAGTGGCTCGAAGGCGGCGCAAACTTGTTGAAAAGCCTTCCTAAGATTCTCCATCTTCCTCCCTTGGTTAGAACCCTTCGACTTGTTGTAGTTGGGCTTGTTGTTGTTGGTCTTCTCACCATCTTTGTCTTCTCTTTTGCCTCTCCCAAGCTTAGGACAATGCGAACGAAGATGATCAATTGAACCACATTCAAAGCAACGATTTGGACCACCTCTTTTCCTGTTCCTGGCATTATTCATAGCTCGAGCAATTCTGTTAGCAACCAAAGCCAAATCCTCCTCCTCGATTTGTTCGAGTTGATCATCGGATGTGGCATTAAAAGCAGCAAGAAAAGAAGGCATAGATGAAGAAGCATCAACAACCAAAGAAGAAGAAGAAGAAACCAAAGCACTCGATTTAGAATCAACTTTGCGAGAACGAATATTCATCTCATGTGTTTTCAATTTAGTATAAAGTGAATCCAAAGTCAAAGTAGACATGTTAACAGACTCCTGAATAGATGTAACATTCATCTCCCAAATAGACATGTCGAGACCATTCAAAAAGTGACGAGAAATCTCAGATTGTGGATAATTAACATCATAAGAAGAATCAACAGATCTAAGATCACTCAAAATTTTATTAAATCTAGAAAGATAGTCATCCAAAGCCTCTCTATATTTCATCTCAAATTTAATGTACTCCTTTTTAAAAAGATCTCGACGAAGCTCTTTAATGTTATTTGTTCCTTGATGAAAATTTTTCAAAGCATTCCAAATCTCATGAGCAGTTTCAAGATGTGGAACACGATCATAATCAGAACGAGAAATACCACTCAAAAGAATGTTGCGAGCTTTGCAATTTTGTTCAAAAGCAGTTTTTTCAGCAGCAGTATTAATAACTTCAGGAATCACATAAGCATGAGAAACTTTTCTCCAAATATCATAATCTTCAGCCATAATGTAAGATTGCATCCTACTACACCAATGAGAAAAATCCGTTCCATTGAAAACATGAGGCTTAGTTGAAAACCTAGCGGGAGTAGCCATGACAAAAACTTTAGATCGATAAAAATCCAAAGAAGAAAACGAGGCTCTGATACCACTTGTAGGATCGTAAAGGGCCTTTCCCACCCCAAAAGCTAGCCATTGAGGTGAGGGGCTCCCCCACTTATATCTTAGGTCATTTACCCTTCCACAACCAATCTCTTCAACAATCTCCCCCTTCACACATTGGTGTCCCTCAGCCCTTCACCGCCCCTTCACCGTATCCGGGCCCCCACCGGCCCACGGTCCATCAGGTATACGGGCCCCACAGGCTCCCACGGTCCATCAGGCCTTCACACGTGTCCATCGGGCCAGAGATGTTAATCTAGCCTGGCTCTGATACCAGTTGTAGGATCGAAACACAAGAACTAAGCCAATCAGAGGGGGGTGAATGGTTGGTATACCCAAAAACCGAAAACTTTTAGCGGAAATAAAAGTTACCCTCGAAATCGATGGAGATCGGTCTGACCGGAGTAGATTAGCCGGTCTGACCGAAGCTTAGCCGCCGGTCTCACCAGTGATGATCTACCAGTCTGACCGCCGAGATCGCCTGCCGCTCGCTGTCGCCGCCGCCGGTCTGACCGCCGTGCTCCCGCCGGTCTGACCGCCGTTGAGTTGCCGGTTAGACCGCCGAAACCCAGTGAAACACAAATCGAAGAACTCTTAAAGTAGATGACGATTTCATTACTTCTCTCTGTGTTTACAAAGTGCACCAACAGCACTCCTTACAAAAATTTCGACTAAACTCGAAACCCTAACTCAAAACTTAACTCAATTGCTCTCTAAAGCGATACCGGGAAGCCTCACGCTCCCCCCTCTATTTATACATGAGGTAGGCAGCCTAAAGCCCCGAACCAAACTCATACTAGGAGTCCTAAACACCTTAGGAAACCCACTAGTACAAGAAAGAAACTTTACATAACCAAACGTACCAAATTTGGACTCCTTCCAAATTCGACTCCGCATCCCATACGCACACAATAACTCCATCGTATGCCATATGGAAACTCCATCAACCATGTGCATCAACTCTAACCTAAGTATCCCGCATGATCTCTGACCACCACGGACGTCGTCTTATCCCCAAGTCGACTCCCGGTCCATCACCGCAAATACTCTCCCGAGACATCGAGTCACCTACACATGGAACAAACAAAGAAACCATATTCCGAGACCAAGCTATCTCCAACTTGACTAATTAGCAGCAAACAATAGTATTACATACGTATAGTATCCATCTAGAAGTCATAATCATGGAATAAACTCAGATATCCAAATAAACAACCCGAAACCGAAACCAACACAGTGTCGGCCGGTCAGACCGCGGGCTGCGCCGGTCTGACCGGCTACCAGAGCCCGGTCTGACCGGTCCACACAAAATGATAAATCCTGCAGATTCACCTGTAAAATCCAATCATCTCCAAAACCACTTCGTGATTAAATTCCAAATAACAAAACCAATAATCTCCAATGCCCAATTGTTCATCACAGAATAATAATCAAAAACACCTTTGATTTTACAATATGTACATGTGCAACGGTAGCAGATATGGATAGACGTATACAGTTGGGCCCTCGTAGTTTATTGTCTATTGATTGCGTTGTTGTGCCATCAACATTGTATGGCCATAGCGGGAGGCAGTACTTGGGATAGGGCTGTCAACGAGCCGAGCTCGAGCGAGCTTATCTACCTAAGCTCGAGCTTGGTACAGGCTCGAGCCGAGCCCGACATGACCTTCAAGCTTAAAGGCAGGCTCGGTTCGAGCTCGACCAAGGCTCGGCTCGACTCGAGCTCGGTTCATAGAAGCTCGTTAAGATTGTTTCTTTCAGCAATCTGAACTTATCTCCCAATAATAACTTGTTAAAAAGCCATAGTTAACAGGATTCGGTTGTGCTTCTTTTGCTGCTATGCAATCCCTATTGCTCGGTGACTCGATCTCTATAGATAGCTGTGTTGATTGCTGGTTTGCAGACATCTACAAAAATTAAAAATACCAACTGCTATCAATATATATTCTGCACAAGAGGAGGAATCAAACAAGTACAAGAAGAAAAGCATGGCATCAATTTACGTTGGCAAATGGCAATAAGCACACGGTGTTCTACAACCTTCAGTCTTTCTTCAGAAGAGGAGCACAGCAAGATAACTACCACTCCAATACTTCAGGTCTCCACCTAGTCCATAAAATTCAATGTAAATCAGTAACATCAATCAAGTAACTAAACTCTACACAGTGGATACATGTAGGGCCCTAGATACAGGTGGGTGCAAAAGAAATCAAAAAGTAAAATCGTACGAGGAAAGAAGAGGAAACATACTCAGATCTGGCTCGTCAGTTCGTCACTCACGGAGGAGGCGGTGGGCTGCTGCTGTCCTCCATGAGGTTCTAGCTTCCTGGACAGGAGAGGTGTAGGCTGGCCGGTGCTTGGCTAGATCCACAGCAATGGAGCACTGGAGCAGCCTAGAAGTGTAGATCTAGGAGAGAAATGTTTGGAGGAAGAGAGCAAATGAGCTAAGGTTTGGGTACGGGATGGGGGAGTTGGGGATAAGGGAAATAAATGGTTAGGTGATGGACTGCAGGAGTGCAGCCTGCTGGTGGGATTTTGGAATTAGAGTGCGGGAAAAATTGGGATGGGTAGCGGGAGTGAAATTTCAAGCTTCTACCGAATAGCTCGAGCTCGGCTCGGTAGAGCTCGCAAGCTTTGCGACAAGCTCAAGCTCGGCTCGAATCCTTATCGAGTCGAACTCGAGCCGAGCTTGCGACGAGCCGAGCTTGAGCTGCTCGTGAGCTCCGAGCTTTTTTGACAGCCCTAACTTGGGACAGAGGCTGCTTAGAGAGCGACCGCGAGGGGAACATGAAGCTACAGTAAACCCTCCTCCCCTGACCCCTCTTCCCCAGAGTCCTCCTTCCCTACAGTATAGTATAGTCAGGTCCTCCTGTTGTGTAGGTTTATCCCGTTTTCCCAGTTCTTGCCGGAATGTGAGCTTCTCCCATGGTGGTGAGTGGTGGAGTTGCAGGCGGCGGTTTTGGATGGTGGCGGTGTCCTAATGCCTCGGTGACCCTGAAGCGAATCCACTCGGTGGTGTTCAACTTGGCTGGTGTTGGTTCTCTGATTTGTTAGATCTGGAGCTTCTATAACCCTCCCTCTTCTACTGGTTTCCAGCTTTCTCCACCGGCTGCTGCTTGCAACGGCCATAGTGTGGAGGCTGGCAACGTTCTCCTGTGTCTTGGTAGTGAGGTGGTGTGCATACGGAGTGCTCCTGTGGCAACCTCCGCAGCTACATCCCATGCGGCTGCGTGTCGTCGTTGGTTGGGTGCTCTTGTGCCGACTCCTGCTCACCTGCCCACTCTGCTCCTTGTTTAGCCGTTGTCGATCGTCTTCATCTGATCGACCCTTGTCTGGGACGGATGGCTTTGGGGGCGATGTGTATGAACAGACAGAGCTGGCCTTGGATTGATTCAGCATTATCAACGAAGTTTGCATCTTGCTGGTCTTGTTGATTTGGCAACATTGTCTGGAAGGTATGGATGCAATGCATATTGCTCGACGAGTTGCAAAAAGACACTTGCAGGTCATTTCCTCCATTAGGTTCTGGTGGGATGTAGCAAGGCATCAGTTCTATCGCCATTGTCCTAATTGTCTCATGATTGAGCCTGTTGGTCTTTAGGGACGACTTCTAATTTTATCTGCAGCAGTAACCAAGTCGAGTGCTTCGTTCGGGTTGAGTGCAGACCTCATGTCCGATTCTTGTCGATAGGTTTGCAGTTAGCATTCCTTATATTTGACAGAGAACTTCTTGGCAAATCGATGTTAGTCAGGTGAAGTTTAAGCAAAATCTATGACTCAATAATCAACCTCGAATTGTGCCGTTCCCGTGGAGGCAGCCGAAGGGTCGCCAGTTTGTCAAGTGGAGTGCACACTATTAGTAGAGGCTTGTGGATGCAATCGTCGCGGCAGTGCCGTAGCCTCTTCTCAGATTTCATCCATTACAACTATTTGGTTTATTTGGAAAATTTGTCCCCTTAGATAATTTGGCTTTACCTTTTAAAAGGATGGTTTCGCTCCGCAAATTGTATCATATGGCGATGTCTTTAATCTATATAATAGACTTGAATTTTCAAAAAGAAAACATTGTACGGCTATGGGGGAAAGGAGACAGGAGGGGAGAGGTAGGAGAGGAAGAAGAAATTGGGGAAGGACATGGAAAAACGTGACGGCAATGGCACGAAGAGGATGAAAAACATGATGGCGGTGACATTATTTCAATTTTGTGTGAATTCGAATGACATACATATGAATAGACGAATACTATATAAAATAACAAATTTAATTTGCAGCTACATTTGTTTTATTGTTGTAACTTGTATAAGTTAAAATTGACCAAGCATATTTGTGTAGTGATTCATACCAATCTATCTTGTTGATTTATTTTTCTAATTTTTTCATAACTATGTGGATGATACGGAAATAACAAGGGGATGACCTCTCGAGAGTTTATAATAATTTCCCCATCTATATTTTCAATGATGTTTAGATTTGTTGTATTAACAAATATATCATGTTTTAGAACGGAAGTAGCAGCGACGAAGCATGCATCCAAGCGTGATCTAGAATTTTAGGGCCTGTTTGGTACAGCTCCAACTCCTAAATATAACTCCAAGAGTTGGGTCTGGAGTGTAGTTGTGGAGCTGCCTAAACCCAGATCCATAACTCTAGTATATTTTGTGAGAGAGCTCCACCCAACTCCACTCTCAGTTTTGATAGAGCTGAAACTGTTTGGCTGAGCTCTAGCTCCAAGAGAGGTGGAGTTGGAGCTGGAGCTGTACCAAACAGGCCCATAGTTTTCCTCGCCTGAAGAAAACAATAAGAATTCTAGTTTTTAGGTCTCCTCCCCAGTGTACTACTACACACGTCCCTATCAGAGCTAGTTTAATAGTATAGCCAACCGATGGCTCCAAATCATCTATAGTCAACTTAACAGCCAATTTGTACAATAGCTAGTTACCTATAAACATATACTACACAATTAATATGTGGTCGCACCTGTCATACACATATGCATCTTGTATTCTGCTATTATATCTCCTCTTTTATATTCTCGAAATGTTTTTATAGCTAGCTTATAGTCTGCTATTGTACCGACGCTCGGTAAACTTCGATATCAAATTAGGGCATGTTTAGATCCCACCCCAAAATTTTACACCCTGTCACATCGAACGTTTAACACTTGCATCAAGTATTAAATATAGGCTAAAAAATAACTAATTGCACATATTGCGACTAATTTGTGAGCCGAATCTTTTCAGCCTAATTGCTCCATGATTTGACAATGTGGTGCTACAGTAAACATACGCTAATAACAGATTAATTCGACTTAATAAATTCGTCTCGTTGTTTACTGACGGATTCTGTAATTAGTTTTTTTATTAGTGTCCGAACACCCCGTACGACACCCTATATAATACCCGATGTGACATGTTAAAACTTTACGCGACCTAAACACCCCCTTAATCATGGTTAGGTGTTAAGGCTTAGTAGAGCTCTAGAAGGCAAGTCAAAGTTTATGCCCCCACACAATTACTACGTACCTTCAATATCACATTAATCATGTATTAATCATTGTAGCTGTTAAGGCTTAAGTAGAGTTATACAAGTCAAGTCAACGTTAGTTGCATGGCCGAGGCTATCTAAAGGGTGAAACAACACAAACTTTTTGCACAAAGAGTATACGCTCAAGTTCAACTAACCAATTAATAAAAGGGTTACCACGGCAAGCATACATCTTTGACAGAAGAAAATGACATTTTTCGATGGTAACTTTGTCTAAATGGTCAATTCTCGATTCGATCTATATAGTTAGTTTTAATCAATAATGATTATATTGAGAGGAATAGGATCGATCATCTGCAAACTCAAGATGCCTCTTAAAACTAATATCTTTATTTGGTATCCGCTTAAAGGAATAGTGTTAACAAAGGATAATTTGGATATGAGGAATTGGAATGGTAGAATGAGATGTTTTTTTAATGGAAAATGAAACAATTTATCATGTATTCTTGGATTGCCATTTTTCCAGATTTCTTTGGAGAGCAATACATATTGCTTTTGGGTCGTACCCTCGACATGTATATGTTATATATACATTTAGGGATTGGCTCGTGGGTATTGATAAAAAAACCAAGAAACTTATCCTTGTAGAAGCATCTGCAATATGTTGGGCTCTATGGCTTGGTAGAAATGATATGGTTTTGATAAAAGCACCATCAAAATCTTATATGCAGGTACTTTTCAGGGCAACATACTGGCTTTGGTATTGGGCTCAACTACAAAGGTGTGATGAAGACATCAATCTGCAGTATGTTGGGCTCTATGGCTTGGTAGAAATGATATGGTTTTGATAAAAGCACCATCAAAATCTTATATGGAGGTACTTTTCAGGGCAACATACTGGCTTTGGTATTGGGCTCAACTGCAAAGGTGTGATGAAGACATCAATCTAACAAATGATGCATGTCGTAAACTTGAGACACAGTTATGTAGGTTTTCGCCAATTTCGGATGAAGATTCACAAATAGAATTCAATAATTCTAGGTCATTAATCTTGTGTTGGTGCTTATATTGTGTTGCTTTATGTTAAATTTGTGTGTTTCGTGGTTTTATTAGATTGTGTGGATGCTTTTGAGCGTTGGAGCAATAATTGGCTGTAAAAAAAAATATTGCCAATCTATCGTAGTGGTGTTGTGCATAGAAGATTATACTCTCTGAAAACTGCAGTTGGCGTAGTATGCGCGCCGGTGAAGGCGGATCAGTTTCTTCGCAGATGAGCTGGCACTACTATAAAAAGGCAAATAGGTGTCGCCACTATAGGTGTCGGCACACCAAAAACAGGCACCTATAATACCTTCTCCGCCCATGCTCCCACCACCACGCGCTACATATTCAAAAACCGATACCTTTATATTCAAATAGGTACCGGTTTTTAAATAAAACCGACCCCTAAAACCTGTACCTGTATCAGAGAAAGGTGCCGGTTCTAGACCCAAAACCGGCACCTTTAATCTTCTCCCTCCCACACTAGTCGTTGGTAGGCCCCACACATAGATGTCGGTTTTAAGACAAAGGTGCCAGTGCTGTGCCCAGAAGATTACACTGTTTGAAACCTGTAGATGGCCTAGTGTGCGCATTGGCTAAGGTGGATCAGTTTCTTCGGAGAGGAGCTGGTGCCATGGAGGTCACTGGCTATGATACTAGGCTGAGTTCCATTACGAGTTTAGAAAACATGCTCATGGTAAATTAGGAAGTAGTAAAAGCCAGACACTCTACTTAACTCACGTTTTTAACTGTTTGAAAAGTGTATTGCAACACATAATTTACATCTCACGCGGGGCTGCCTTTGGAGGGAAAGTGTGGCGCTGATGGATATCCGGTCTTCTCTACTAATTGGAGCAAATTCCCCATTGGTCCCCGTTCATGGGACAGATCAACAAAATTAATTAGCATGTCCTTTTTGACCGTAGGAGAAAACAATTTTCAAAGGTCTGGTCCGCCCACCGGATCGAGTGTGAAAACTCTTTTTGATCGTGGGAAAATGTTATTTTAGTATGGATGTCCGTAACAAAAGTTGAAGCAGAACTACCAAACTCCTTTTGGATCCGTAGGACTATTAAATAGTCCTCCGGAATCTTGTTATTTAGGAGTATTAAACATAAATTATTGACAAAACCTATTTCATAATCCCTAGGCTATTTTGCAAGACGAATCTAGCAAGGTATATTAATCCATGATTTGCTACAGTGATGCTACAGTAATGCAGGTAATTATGGATTAATATACATCATTAGATTCGTCTCGCAAAATAGCTTAGGGGTTATGGAATCGGTTTTGTCGGTAATCTACGCTTAATACTCCTAAATAGCAAGATTTCGGAGGGCTATTTAATAGCTCGGAGGATCCAAACAAGACCCAAGTCACGTATGTATAGTGTCCATGGTGCGAAAAAGCTGTTGCGCGAACATTCACGAAAACGAGTTCGCGCGAACGCCGATCTTCCAGGTCGCTTGTGTACTTACGTGAATCACTGTAGCGTGCAAATTCTGAGCACCAACCGATTAGATTCTGGAATCTGGATACATACCACATGGGACTTGTGGGCCATAGTAGTTTAAGTTGACATTTCTATCTTGTTTTTAACTTTTTTTTTGAACATCTTTTATTCTAGTTTGTTATTTAGTCTGTGATCACAAAATATGTACCATTTGTAAAACATAATACAACATCAAATTTTGTTTGAATATCTTTTTTCTCTATTATTTAGAGAAGGGATTTTGAATCTTATATAAACTTTACATGTGGAAAGTCTATTATTTATTAATAAATTTTTTAAGTAAAAAAATTATTATTTATATGCAAAGTATTGCCATGCAAAGTATAAATTAGAATTGTATATGTTGGATTTTAGTCTAAGCTCACTTAAAACACGTACTTAGATTAGAGGGTTTGAATGAGAAAGATAAAGACATATATATGCTTGAGCTAGCTAGTGGGCCCTAGAAGATTTTGCATATACGTGGGCTGTGTTATGTGATGGAGCAGAGAGGCTCATGAGCAGAAGTCGACACACACGAAGGGAATAGTTAGCCTCGACACGTTCGCTCGATCCATGGTGTATTATTGCTTTCACCTAGTTGTTTCCGTTGGAACAGTGCATACAAGTCGTAAGTCCATCGTTTGCCGAAGTGTTGGTTGTGGTTCTGTGCGGTTAGCCTGCTGACCGTGTGCGCCGCAGGACTTGCAGCGTCCGAATTTCTGATGCATCGATTCGAAGGAGATACTCCAAAACGCCTGCTAAAGTTTGGGTAACTCCTCAATACTCCTCATCAGGCCCACACACTCTCATATACTCCTTCTGTGCCAGAAAGAAAACATATGAGGGGATCCAGATACATTATCAAGAGGGGTCACATCCCCTCGTAGATTGATTCCTTTTGGGACGGAGGGAGTATATGATATAGGCTCTGTTCGTAAGTCCTAGTTCCGCCTCATTTTCTGAGCGTACGTTTCC